CTTTCCCTTTTTGTTTTTGACATGCCTGAGGACTTGTGCACTTGAGAGAGAGAGAGAGAGAGAGAGAGAGAGAGAAAGCAACCCCCAGTGGGGCCTGGTCAAGTTGCAATCTTTTTTTCATTTCTCCACCCCACCATGACTTTGGCATGTGCACGTGTGCATGTGAGCGTGCACACACACACATACCTAATGTGTTTCAAGCCACCATGGCTGGAACATGACACGATTAGTCATGTGGGATTTAGCTCCATACACACAGGGATTAGCCACGGAGCTGAGACACTGGCTGGCCCTCTCATCTTGTTCTTCCTTTCTATTCATTCTTCTACCTGTGGATGATCTTCAGTTACTAGGTTAAAAACATGACTGCCAATAGCTCCCAAGTTTTATTTCTTATAGAACTTCAGCTTGAAGAGTGACTAACTATTTTCTGTGTCCTCAAGTTAAGAAAATCTGTGACTGGCCTGAGCTGGGTGGGCTATCCTCTCCTGAACTGCCAGATACAGCACTGGCATACAGTTCAGAGAGAGATGGGTGAAAACAATCTATACAAAGAAAAGCTCTAGTCTTTCCTTAATACAGAGGTAGTTTAATTTCTTTTTGAACTCCAAATTCTGACCAAATACTAACATGAAGCAAGCAACAAGGGGTAAAGAAATAATTGTAAAGGCTGATACAAATATGACTTAGAGAATAAGAAGCCATCACAGATAAGTTATCAATAAATGCAATACATGGACAAAGAATGTTAGTGAAGAGCCAATAAGCACACAAACTGGATGCTTTATGTATATAATATAAATAAAAGGATTTTCACAATTGGAATTACATTAAAAAAAATCTCTTTTCTCTATTTTAAAGAAGATTTTTTTAAAAAGTCACACCTTTTAGTGGTAAAGAAAATAAATACATTTCATCACCAGTAAACATCTGACCGTGTATTGAGGGTAGGCACTGAAGTGCCATGAGATTATTTCCAGAGATAATTAAACTCAATATGTAACTTCTAATTTTCTTAGAAACAAAATGATCACTTACCAGGCCACTGGGGTCTCTATCAGCTCGACCTCGTTCAAAAGAATTTATTTTACTGGCGCTCATCACATCAGTGTCAGCAATGACATAATGTCTAGGTGAGTAAGCACTGGACAAGCTCCCAAGTAGCCTCAGGATCTCGGTGGTATGCCCACCTGGAAAAAATATAGGAAAGCCTAAGATGAAGAAACTCACAACAAACACATCCATTTGACCACGATATACCAATGCCATGTTTTTGGAAGAGCAGAGACCATTATAATTATATATTTCCCAAAAGACACAAGGAACATTTGGAAACGATAATCTAAGCCCTTGTATAAATACCACTTTTATATGGAGAAGAACATAATAAATGTTCAAAAATAAAATTGGCACTAACTGTAGGTACTGAGGACATACAAAGGAGTATAAGACAGTTTCTGTTATCCAGAAGACCAGGAAGAGGGCCAGCAGGTGGCATGGTGGCTAGGGGGCTGGACTCCCAGATGGCTGACAGTGGTTTGAGTCCTGGACTTGGCGGCTTGCTTTCTCACTTTCCCCCACTCTCTCTCTCTTACTCTGTACCTCTCTGGTCAAATTTAGATAAATAAATAAAACATAATAAAGTTAAATGAAATAATTTTTTAAAAAGGAAAAAAAAAAGGAGACCAGTGGAAAAAGGTAAGACACACACATATATATGAAGGATTTGAAAAAGTTTGAGGAAAAATGAAATTAAAATTATCAGTTTATTTTGGTACAAAAGCATTTGAAATCTATGCATAGCTTTTTGTACAATGCACATTTTCCATCAACTTTGTGGAGACTCCTCATAAAGATAAAGAAGATGTAGGACTGCAAGAAAAACTAAAATGTGGAGAGAGGAAAGGGACAAGCTATGAAAAATCAATGGGCTAGGGGGAAGGACATCCCTAGGAAAGCCCGAGAAGACTTGAAAGTGAAAATAATGGACAGTCAGGAATAGGGAGGCAACTGGGTGGGAGCAAGAACTCTTAGGGCGGGATGGTTCAAGGGCTGTGGAAATACTGGGAAGGTTTAGGAGGAAGGAAGGTCAGGGAAAACAGTCACTGAGGGTTTCTGTGTAGAAGGTAAGGGAGGCACCGCTCTGGCACAGAAATGAAACCTTTCTCAGCTCCTCACACAGGTCTCGACACACTGCAGCTCCTCAGGCACTTACCGGCTTAATCAAACAAGTTGTTCAGTTTTCCAAGTCAGACGACCCAATGTTTTCTAGGTTGTTTCTTCTATGCAAACAACACAACATTTACCTATCTACAAACTACTTACACACAGAAAGATCAAACTCCTTAGCAAGAAGTCCCATTGTATCTATTTCAGCTTCACGTCACAAACTCTGTGCCTTAGCAAGGCTGGGGTCTTTAACATTCTCTGCGCTCATCTTATTTATCTCCTCCTTGCACCTGGTCATGCCGTTCCCTGTACCTGAAGGCTCCCTCGCTCCCACCTGCTCACTTCCCTTACTGTTTTCCTCTGTTTTTGGTTTTGTTTCAGTTTGCTACAGACCAGTGTGAGCTCACTGGAGACAGAGAGGGAATGTGAGAGAGGGAGAAGGTGAGAAATCCTGTCCCGACTGGGGTGGGAGGGGGGTGGGGGGAATGGCCAGGGCACAAACTCTTTTCCTCCATCCATATATTGGGATTTTAGACACACACACACACACACACATTCATGCCCAGTGTGTTTTTTTCAAGCTGCTGAGTCTGGGACTCAGACCACACAGTCTGCCAGGTGGGATCCAGCCACCTTAATCTCTGGGCCACCTGTTGGCCCCACCTCCATTACTATTTGAAAAAAGAAGTTTCAATAGTGATGCTAGAACACCTAGAAACAAAAATCAAACAAATTTGGCATGTATTTCTTCCAACACAAAGTTTTGTTATAGTAGAAAGGGAAAGATTTCTTTACATTAGGTTACAGTAAGAATGAGATATAGAAAGAAATGTGGCATAGATTTAGTATGAATTTCAGGAACTGGAATCATAATTAACTTTATAACTTGTCACCCATCTTAACTGGGGCATGTAATTTACACATCAGAGTTATACTTGTTTTAGTATTTTTATTTTTAGCCTTGAAAAACTGTGGTGGTTTGCAATGTAGGTACTTGTTTTCACAAGTGGAACAATTAAGGATAAAACCTAATATCTACAACATCTCCCACTGTAATTAAAAACCTCATTATGCCTGCTTTACAGTCTTTTTTTTTTTTTAAGGAAACCCTTACTGAACACATTCATTGAAAGTTTAACTTTGTTACTGAGTAGTCATTAAAATGATAGAGTCTTTCTTTAATTACACTCTTCTATTATGTTATTTTTTTCAGGGAGATAAAAACCCTCTCAATTCTACTCAACATACTTGCACTATTCAATCATTTCTTACCACCCCTTTTGCTCCCGACCTGTTCCAAGCCACTATCGCCTCGCCTATGGACTGTCTCTCTCAGTGCTTCTGGTCTGTCCCCCCACCCTTTCCCCAGCAGTCTGTTTTCAACACAGCATCCAGTGTGATCCTATTAAAAGAGGTAATCAAATTAGTTACCTCTGCTCACAACCCTCCAATGCCTTTGTATCTCCCATAGAATAAAAAAGGCTTCTTGTATTCTGACCCCAACTCTATGGCCTCTTAGACCCCCATTTTCTGCTTCACCCCACCTCACTCAGTCCACTCTAGTCACTCTGGCTTCCTTGCTGCTGGACATCTGTCATCCCCCTCAGGGAGGCGTCCCCTGGCAATTCTTTTTAAAATGCCCTCCTCTTTCAGCACGTCCTAGTATTTCTCTGTATAATTCACTATGTAGTCTATTTATGTGTTTTATTTCTTATCTCCCCTCCCCACCCCTTGCCCCACTAGAAGGCAAGCACCATGAGGGTAGGGATTTCTGTTAGTTTTGTTACTGCCCAGAAAATAGCAGTTCTTCTATTGCTGAATGAGTGGAATGAGAGCTGATTATGAAATCTTAAATTTGCCTAAGGAGACCATATTGGATTTCAAAGAAAAGTAATTTTGACAGATTATTATTTTTTTAATGAGGTAAACACTGAAAACAAGTTCTTCTTCCAAAATTCTGGCCATGAATATTACACTGTTTATCTGATTACAAGTCTGTCTTTGACTTGAATGACTCTATAAGGCCCTTGACTCATCTCTTCTCTGAATGATCTGAATGACAGAAGTCCAGATGAATCCTTAATCTCATTTGGTTCTAATCCACCAAATCTAATATTATCAAATGAATGGCTCTAACATCCATCCATTCCTTCCCGTCAGAAACCTGGACATTGTCCTTTTAGCCCTTGCCTAGTTCACGCTTCACTTTCAATCCAGCTGTGGACTTGCTACCTAAAATCTCCCAATTTCATTTGAATGCATTTCCTTCTCTACATCCCACACCCATCGCTCTGGGCACCACCTGCCATCCGAATTATTCCAAAGGCTTTTACTTTGTTCTCTGTTTCAGTCTTCATCAAGAAAATTCTTTTGACAATGCAGGTTACAGGTCTTTGTGAAAGTTCATACTGAATTGGGTATGAAGAACGCCACCAGGACTAACGACAATCATCACTTGGTTAATGTTTACTATAAGCACGTTGTGAAAACTCTTTCTTGTTTTGAAAAATCGTTTATTTATTTCTTCCATGATAAAAAGAAAGAGACAGACACCCCCAAGAGGGTTCTCATGTCACTATCCACCCCCAGGCTCAGCCAGCCCAGGTAGCAGACACTTGTAACCCAGGATCTTCCCATGTGGGTCCAATTGCTTTACCAATATACCACCACATGACACTTTAAATCCACCACATTTAGTCTCTCCTAACTTCTTTCAATCCACATTTTCCAAGGTGGACACAGAAGGCTCAGCGAGGTTAACTATATAATTGGTCCCAGATTGTGAGAGGCAGTTAGTTAGTCATGAGTGGGCAGCCCTAAGAGAAAAGCGAAAGGCTCATCGCTCAAGGTGCCAGAAGGGTGAGGCAATTTGCCATCTTCCTTCCTTGAGGCCTGAGGGAAGCACACAGGGATGATTCGTAGATTTTTCTCTTATCAAAAAGACCTAAGCAAGCGTTTTGGTCGATGCCCTAGTTCCTATTAGGGCGATGGACTAATTGGGCAGTCTAATTGGGGCAACCTGGCTCACAATGGGCGTGTGAGATTAGGTGATCAAGTTCCTCATTCTTTACCTGTGAGGAAGGTGCACAGGTGCAGGAAAAAACGTGTGGATTCAAATTTAAAGGAAGGACATAGGCAGTGTAAGGGGCCTCCCACTAATGAATATTCATGACATCTAGTAATAAAAATAAGTTAACTAGTACCAAGTGCGGTTGCCACTTGGCAATCTTCCCGCCCAAGCTCTGGCAATCTGCCCGCCCAAGATCCTTTCTGGGTGTACTTCCTTTCTTTCCTTTCGATTAAATCTTCTTTTCTACCTACTTTATTCATGGTTGCAGTTTCATTTTGTGCGTAGGGACAGATCTCTAATTTTAGTGATCTGGACCCCAAGAACCAAGGACTTCACAATGCAGCAGTTCGACACTTTCCCATCTGTTAACAAGATCACTGAGGTAGTAAGTATTAGAGATATGATTAAACTTCAGCATTTTATCAATCCGGGGACCTGTGTTCCTAGCCCCTACATTGGGGCTTAAAACACCCTGTAGGGGTGCTGGCAGGTGGCATGGTAGTTAAGGTGCTGGACTCCCACATGGCCAACCTCAGTTCAAGTCCTAGATCTGGTGACTCATTTACTCACTTTCCTTCTCTCTCTCTGTCTCTCTCTGGTCAAATTAAGTAATAATAATATGCTCTCTGGGCTGGAACCTAGTTGGCAGTGATACAGCTAAACGCACCAAGAAGGTTAGCATCATCGGTAAATATGGACCAGCTATGGTGCCTCCCTCTGGAAAATGGCAAAGAAAACTGAAATCAGCCAGCACGCCACATACACCTGCTCCTTCTGAGACAAAACCAAGATGAAGAGACGGGCTGTGGGTACCTGGTACTATGGTTCCTGCATGAAAATAGTAGCTGGTGGTGCCTGGACCTACAGTACCACTTTGCCTATCAGAGTAAGGTCTGCCATCAGAAGACTGAAGGAATTGAAAGACCAGAATCTCCACAGACATTTGGAATATCACTAGCCTATAATAAATGGGTTAACTTATATTAAAAAAAATTGTTTTTCAGTTTCCATACAGTGTTCAATAAATTACATGAGCTATTCCACACTACAGTAAGTTAGCTTAGTGTTAGATGATTTTGCCCAGCTGTAAATTAATGTAAGCGTGCACGTTTAAGGTTAGCTAGGCTAAGCTACGATGTTCAGTCGGGGTAGTGAGTGCACTTTTGACTTACATTTTTAACTTAAGATAGTTTTATCAGGAGTAGCCATCGTAAGTTGAAAAACATATACATATCGTGCCAAAACAATCCATCTAAAATTCTAGGTGCTTACAAAGCTAGTGGATTTAGAGTTAAAATTGACAGGACAGTTTGTTACTCATACACTGCCATCCTGTGTGTACTGTTCCACAGTCCTTCGATCATTGTTTTCATCTTCGTTGATTTTGTACATTTATAAATGTGACAATTTCCTTCGCCTCATTTACCACGTGGTATTCGTATTTCCTTAACTAAATAAATACAAAATGCATAGATTAATAATACAGAACAGCCATACAAGGAACTGCATGTTAGCATCAAAAGGCTTCTGCATTCTCTCTACTCAGTAATTAGTTGTTGGGAAAATATACCCAGAGAGCTTTAATTAAGACAAATGTTAAGTTATTTAACATCTGAAAAGACGGCTGGACGGCCTAAGCAAACCAGCATTTTGCCCGGCTGGGCAGACGCGACCCGGGAACGCAGCGAAACTACAAATCTCAGCGTGCAACGCTCCAAGCACTCTACAGGAACCCGACCAGGGCGTCGCGGTGCACTCTGGGGTTTGTAGTGCCGACCAAAGCCCGACCGTCACAGCCTCGCGACTTACCGGACCCAGCCACTACCAGGAGGCTGAGAGACGCGCGGGGCGTCACGCCCGGGGGAAGAAGCA